ATTGAGAAAAATTAGAAAAAACGTGTGCATGAAACAGAAGATGCACTGAATTCCTTAATTAAATCCCAAACACTTGTTTAAGAAAATTGACTTTTGATAATGGATTATTAGCCTAGTTGAGTTCTGGAGATTGAAGCAATCAAATTATGGAGAATCCTTCTTTATTTTTATATCGACTTACAATTAGTGAGATTTACCTAAACTAAAGAGATGAGGATAGTGTAAAAATTCAACCTTGAGTTACACACCTGAAAAGAGCGAAAATACTAAGTTTGGGGGTGTATGTGTCTTACAAGTGATGGAAGAACATATTTGACCATTGGGTGTCGAGAATTGAAACTACTTGTGAATTCATGATGCTATACTTAATTCTTCACACACGTCAATTTTATATTGAAAAAATAGATTTTAATTTCGGTATGGTAATTTTGAAGCAGTACATAGATTTGATATTATGATTTCAATTAGATTTGATATTATGATTTCAATCCTGAGATAAAAAGTTGTGGTAGCTATCTAAATATTTTTGCATTGCTTGATTGACTGGCCACCAATTTGGTAATTAGTACTGTGTTTGTTTGGTTTTAGTGTTGTTTGAGCAGAAACAAATATTCAAGTTTTGGAGTCTGATAACTAGAGTTTTTACACTTATTTCGGATCCAAAATGATGATATTTTGTTATTTTTTGGATGGATTAGTACCTAATTTGTTATTTATTGATTTTATTACGAAAAAAATCATATTTCAAAGAAGAATTGGAAAAAAGAACAAAAAATGGATAAAATGAAGTGAATCCAAACTTCGGGGACTAAAATGCAGTAATTCAAAAGTTAAGTCAGATTGCGAGAGGATGATTTGATGATGCCAAAAGTTAATTTGAATTGAAGAGAAGTCAATGGAACGAGAAATTTTGGAAAATAATCAAAACAAACACTTGAAGAAGTTTAGGGACCAATTTGCAAATTAGCCACCAAAACTTGAACCGTGCATACACAAGGTCTGCAGGTTGAAAATTTGCACTTCAGAGACCAATTTAAATAAACTATGCATACACACCAATTGAACAATGCATACGTATTGTTCAACTCCGGTAAAAAATTATATTTCCTTATTTTGTTTTGAAAACTCTTGGTGTGTAATCTTTTGACACCATATTTATACAAAGAGTCTTCTAAAATGTGGGAGGACCTAATTTTATGATTGAGAGCCAAATTTTGAGGGAAAACGAAGAGAATATACATTAAAAAATAAAGAATTCATTGCTTGGATCCGAATTTGAAGGAATAAATTGAAAATTTCTAGATTTTCTTCATCATTAATTATTCGGGTGATGGCTTTCATTTATTTCTTTGTAATTCTTACATTAACAAGCTAGGCTAGAATCCTTAGAATTGGATGGATGACAAAATTCTTTGATTCTTCATTTTTAGTTCGAGTGTTTGTGTTTTTATCTTAATTTTTGCGTTATGATTCCATTAATATGCACAATTACACTGTTTTAATATTTGTGCACCATTAAGATAATAAGTTACTTATTCGTAATGTTGAAAAACTCACAATAGATAGAAAAACTCTTATTGGAACAAATAGGCAATAAATATTAGGAATAATATTTATGACGTGTGCGATCATGTGTGATAATCATAAAAATCAATGCATGTTTGCCATACGAATTCTGACTAAGAATATGATGTCTCGTGGTAACTATAGGTTTATTATATTTTGAGAAAAAATAATAAATAAAAATGAAATTATCGATCGTCACAATTGTATGAATTGTGATAATTACTAATGGTTGCGAATTGGAACTATGAATTATTAAGTGGCCTCGAAAATTCAATACGTTTACTCATTTGATTTTTAAACCAAACTTTCATTTGATTTTACAAGTTTTAGTTACAAAACTTAATTAGCTATTCACCAATCATCTTTTGGTTACAAACACAAATTTAACTATATCAAATATACTAGAATCGAGCCTTATTCCCTATGGTACGATCTCTTTTTCATCATGATTATTACTTGTACAACGAAACCGTACGCTTGCGGGATTTTGAAGAACAATTTTTTTTTTTCAAGAAAGCCAAGATATTGAGACTGTTTGAGCCCTCGATAAGGATTATTGGATTCTTTTTTGTGATAATTCGTGTGATTTTTTGCTTCTATATGTTGAATTACAAATGTGTAACTATTAGATTCCCTTCACAGAATGAGGGGTTTTGTGCTTAAGATTTGGTGGTGGGGTTGCATTGGGAGTAGAAAAAAAAAGTTATTTATTTGAGTGAAAATAAGGTGGTGTGACGTGTTTGAAGGTGATTGGTGTGGGACGATGCTCATCCGTATCAGTCTAAAAATTGTAGTTTCTCGGATGAAGGATCCAATGTTCTTAAAACGGGAGGCCAGATTTTTTCCACACCAGGTGGATGTGGCAGCCCAACAGGAGAGCCTTGAGATTTTGAATACATTGTCGGTTTTTTTTTTTTTTTTTTTTTCTTTTTTTCGAATCACAATTCAGCTGCCGGAGGTATAATTGATTATTTGTGGCATTTGTAATGCATGCTATTTGCTTAAAAGCTTCAAAGAGTAATGAAAGTATTTATAAATTGATTGAAGTATTTTTTTAATATTATTTAATTGAATATTAATAAAGAATCTCTCTATTGTGGATATTGACAACTGATGATCAGCGTTCACTAGTCAATGACAGCCCAACTCACTAATATTCCTAAACTCGACACTGTATGAAATACTTTTCCAATATAATACAAAGAATTCCTTACAAAAAGATCACTCAACCAAAAACTTGTTACTCTCTAGCTTCAGTTCAAATACGATTACTACCCTTGATATCAATGATTGCATTGGCAAAAAGGTCAATGAACTATGTATGTTTGAAATGAATATTTGGCATTGTTTCAAACAAGCATGGTAATTCAATGAAGTGTGGCCATCGAGGGTGATTTTATGATCATCAAATTTGTTCACGTGTGAGTGTTTTATGCAGAAATTTTACCATCTCAATGCAATCACGAGCACATGCTTGTTTTGCAAGACAGTGATTTTTTCCTTCAAAGTAAGTACAGCAACTCAAAAACAAAATAGCAATCCACTATTGAAGGAAATCCATTTAAGTGTCTGGTTAAATTGCGACACTTCTTCTGTTGATAAAGGAGACCTTATATTATGGTACGGTAGGACGGGGAGAGGACGAAGAAGTGCATGAGCTGTATACGATTTGACCAGCAACAATTTATTACGGTAGATTGTCTATTCATAACAAGATTGTTTTATTAGTTACATAAGCTTCAGAGCTTTGATAATTTCTCGACTCATGAACGAGGTTCACATGATATTGGTTGAAGGAAATATATTTCTAGATCATTTGGTATGTTGTTATTTTCTGATAGTTGATGAGTGTAATTTTATATATTTATACGGGCCATCAAAAGTGGACGTTTCGAATTACTTTTATTGTATTGACACTTAATTTTAGTTCTATATTCTTTGTTTTTGGAGAAAGTCAATGTTGGATAGCTATTGGAGAAACGGAGTGGAAATTGGATGAAAAAGACCTAAATTGACAAACTATGGAAAGGACCAAGGTGTCAAGATTTAAAAGATGAAGGGTCTTCAATGCAAATTCAGAAGGGACTATAGTTGGACAAAATAAAAAGTCGAGGATCAAATCGAAGAGGAGCAACAATTATAGCTTTGCTATTGCAAGAATGCCTTGTATCTAACCCCAAGGCTAATTCAATTAGCCCATGCGATCGGAGGTCTTTCCACCTTGAGATTACTTGGTATCACGGGTGAGCAGAATTTCTGTTCCCCAGTTTAAGTTGGACTCTTCAAGGAAAGCAATTGGTGCATGCTTTTAAATAATTTGGAAGGCCAATTTCATGATTATTCATCTTGCAAATAGGAGATTGAGAGATTTAGAGAGAAAATTATACAAAACACATTATACTTTCAAGATTCTTGATTCGAGATTGAAAATCTTAAGTGAGAAGATTGGGATTTCTTGGAGACTTCAAGGGGAAGAAAATTCATCGTCGACCTTCTTTTTGTAGTTAGATATTCTGGGTGACGAATAATCAATTTAATATGTTTTTGTATTACGTAAATGATTGGCTAAATCCATTTAGGATGATGATGTAAACCGTTGGTGTTTTTATTCAAACGTTTCTTCTTCCAATTCCTAATTTGTGTTTAAGTGGTAGATGTCAAGGTTTTAATTAATATTTGAATGAACGATCAATCTTTAAATATGTTTGTGCATACTTTGTTTCTGGCTAAAGCAGATATAATTGACAATCAACATATGGTCTTATAGAAGTAAGAGACAATTGTCTATACTTTGTGCAATCCATTCTAATAATCTTGTTATTGAATGCATTTTTACGCATTCGAATACGGCATAGGGACATTTCGGATCATATGTGACAATAGGTGCATCTCTACTTGAAAAAGATCGTTAGATAATATATGACTGTTGATTTCAATCTAATCATAAATTGGGTTAAAAGTGAGAATTTGAGAACTATAACGAATACTAACTAGAATCGAATTCCTAGCATTTTTTTTTTTAAAATCAATATATTTTATGTAATCTTTCATTCGTATTTAGCTAAATAGTCATAGTATAAATTAGTTAGAATTATAATTACTCAAGTTTAATCATCAATTTTATGTTTTTTCGTTTTAAGCTCGAATTGATTAAACTTAAACTATAATCTAAATCCTCATAACAACAATACTCTTTTATCACTTTTGCTATTACTTACCAATGAATCGGTACGCTTGTAGGATTTTGACCAAACAATAGTGAACTATCATCTCTCGACAGTATATTTTGTGGGTGATAAAGTACGTCAAGGTGTCATCCCCGTACATGGAGAGAGCCTTGGGGATCAACACCCAGATGGATAGCGCATTATATACAAATAGTATATTCCATTTTTTGTATGCTTATGTAAAACTAGTTACAGCAAACATTCATAGAAATTAGAAGGTGTCCTGGACAAGATTCATTTGAGAAGAAACAACATAAATTTAGAGAATTCATTCAAAAAGAAAAACAAAGAGAGAGAGATTATCACGCAAGGATAGGGGCAAGAGATGAAAGCACTTTAAACAGAAGATTATTCTGGAGGGTGATGGCAGTAATACGTGCAGATGCAATGGCTTCCTCTGCATTTTCCCATCCCGAGCGGCTTTTCCGAACATTTTGCCATACATTTTTTCAAGTCACATTTGTCTGAATTCATTTCTTTATGGCAACGATGCTCTGGAATCCAGACCCCATTAGCATTACTCATCTGCCAAGCTGCAGTGAAAAATTCAACTATTACACCATCTGTATAGAAGGAAAGAAATAGAGAGAAAGCAAAAGTAAAATAAAGAGAGAGAACCCGAAGAGAAAGCGAGCATGATGAAGACAAAGACTGCAGATGATGTCTTCATTCTCAACGCCTAGTATTCTCTTCCAAAATATTACCTCAACCCCTTTTGTGTAGGAAAGAAAATGAAAAACTTAATTCACATTATGCACTCTTTATACACTAAGCCCCTTTCGATAAGTTTTGGAATAGTAATTTTTTTTTTTTGGAAAATTTGTATTTAAAAAGTAGATAAAAGTTACGTGCAAAATATTTTATTATAAAAATATGTAATTAAAAATGAGTTTAAAAAAAAAATTAGAAAATGGTAGACAAGTAGAGGCAAATACTACGCTTTCATTTTTCAAACGCACTTTTATTCAAAAAAAAAAAAAAAAGAATTAAATAATATATTTATGAACTTTTATCAAAATTTACTATGAACCTAATTTTTAACCAAACCAAACAGGGGTTTAATGTGTTGTTCACTCCAGCACAAGTTCTTTTCTTTGTATTCACTCCTATTTCCTTTTCCTATATAATACTTCTGTTTTAGATTTTTTTATCCGATTAAAATTATTACTTCTTTCTTCTGTGGTATGCTTTGCTATTCCCCGTTATTCATTTACATATGACTCAACACTTTAACACAGCTTGCGTCCTCCCATAAAAATTTCATCGAAAATCGACTGACTCAATTCGTAATAAGCTTCCATTCTCCAAAACAGATGCATGAAATAAAATGAGAAACGTCGGTTTTATTAGCTTTATTGATGACATAAATATGAAAGTAGAATTCTAGATCACATATTAAGCTTTGATGTCCATTGCCTCATTTAAAGTAATGCTAAGTAGCTCTTCAACTGTCACCTCTACTATCTTACTTTCCCAAAGTTCCAATTATCAACTACTCGTGGAGTTACTCAACATGAAATAAGTCTAGCAACAAAAGATCTCCACAAGAAATTGACTCGACCATTCAATAGAAACATTCATGTCATTCATTCAAACAACTCGTCGATGAACCAAGAGCCTTTTCTTATGGAATGAAGACTCAGAATAGAGCTAATGTCGAAAGCAGAAAGTAAACTGAACTTAATACACTCACCGTTCCAAGCAAATTAATAGAGCAAGAACACCAAATAATATGCTTAATAACCACCCTTGAGATCATTGACCACGTCGTAGGGAATTGGTGTAACTGTTTCTAAAGTTGCACCTTCCACCATGAAGCCAGGTTTAGGGCCCTTTGGCTGCCTCTTAGTGCTTATCACTTCCCCTCTAGCTTTTGCTTCCACTTTTAGTGCATCATTTCTCTTGATTCTTTGCAGGAATTCCTCATGGCAGCGTGAGGGCTGCACATGCTCGACTCGGACATGGATCCTCTTCCTTATTATGCGATTACCAACCTGTATTCATTGAACACGAGAAATTTAAACAATAAAACTATGTAGTTGAGTGCGCAATCAAATAACAAAAGAAGGATCCATCAATTATGCATTAACTGCAAAAGCAACGATCAATTCTTTCTGACATCAGTTCCATGTACAGGAAAACTTCATCTCTACCGTCACCAGGTGAGAAAAGGACATTGGCATGAAAATGGGAAGGAATAGAACTCAAATTTCAGGAAAATTTGCATATAGATGGCACTAACAGACCAATAATCCAATATCAGGAACAACATTCAAAATTTAGGGAAAATAGCACATAAGATGGCAATGACAGAAAACGAATATTAATATTAAGATAACAAAAGATCTTAAATACCAAACTTATATGGCTTGAAGTTAACTTTTGACTTCACCTTCCACAGGATACAGATTCAGCATTTAAGCAAAAGAAATAAATATGATACAGTAAACAGCATCAGCTTCTTGCACATAGGCAGTTGCTGCACATTCAGTCTTTTTATTTACACATTTACAATGTCAAATATTTTATCCCATTTTCGCTTTTTCCAATATCACATTTGTGCGCCAAATCACAACTATTGAGCACTACTTTTTCAAGTAATTGTTAAAATTTATTCGCCAAAAGCAAAATCGTGAAATTAGAAAGATAAATCAGTTGAGAGTTTACTTCCCCTTCTCCAAGCGTGATGATTACATGAAGTAAACAAGCATATTTAACTTAACCATAAGTAAAAACTTTTAAGCAGAGCCATATGTATTAACACAAGCTCCTATAATCACACTAATATGTCCAGACAGATAGAAACTAGCAATCACTTAAAATCAGAAACACAAAATAGGTACATAAATAGAACCATACAAATCCACATGACGTGTGTAATAATCAAGAAAACAGGAGTGAACACTAGATTAAGATCATGATATAGCCACAACCCGCCAGCCACCCCCCAAAACAGAACTGCAAGAGTAAGCCTGAATTGAGTCAATAACCAGCAAAACCACAAATTTGTTCATATAACAAACTCAAACTTACATATGCTCAAGTCTCGACCAGTCATTTCCAAAATTAATTCACTACAATATCCACTTTGTCACCCAAATAACCACACATATATACAAAATAATTAACATACTTTTATCCCCTTTTCGCTTTTTCCAAGATCACATTTGTGTGCCAAATCACAACTATTGAGCACTACTTTTTCAAGTAATTGTTAAAATTTATTTGGCAAAAGCAAAGTCATGAAATTAGAAAAATAAATCAGTTAAAGAGTTTACTTCCCCTTCTGAAAGTGAGATGAATACATGAAGCAAACACGCATATTTAACTTCAACCATAAGTAAAAACTTTTAAGCGAAGCCATATGTAGATATTAACCCAAGCTTCTATAATCACACTAATATGTCCAAACAGATAGAAACCAGCAATCACTTAAAATCAGAAACACAAAATAGGTACGTGAATAGAACCATACAAATTCACATAACATGCGTGTACAGTGTGTAAGAATCAAGAAAACAGGAGTGAACACTAGTTTAAGATCATGACATAGCCACAACCCTCCATCCCCCATAACAAAAATTGCAAGAGTAAGCATGAATTGAGTCAATCACCAGCAAAACCACAAATTTGTTCATATAACAAACTCAAACTTATACATGGTCAAATCTCAACAAGTCATTTCCAAAATTAGTTCATTACAATATCCACTTCGTCCCCCAAATGCAAACATACAAGTCTACCAAAAGAAAAAAAAAATGCTTATAAAAGCAAAACGAGTTCTACGTGCTCTAATATAAACTAGTGGCTACCAAACAGTATTACTCAAAACATATTTACACAAAATGTAGATACAAATACGTATTATAAATTGATTAGACCTGTTTGTTGACTTCAACACCTATGGCACGTTTTGTGACGTTCCAGACGCGGCCGGTGCGGCCATGGTAGAACTTGTGGGGCATGCCCTTGTGAATTGACCCGTTCACCTTGACATCGACATAGTCTCCAATCTTGTAGGTCCGCAAATAGATTGAGAGAGGAGTTGGGCCCTTCTTCCTGAAAGGCCTCGAGAAAAGATCCCGAGTCCTCGACCTCAGTCCGTGTCCAGCAGGCATATTTGCGTTTCACACTCTCGCTTGCTTCTGCTCTCCCACGCTTCTTTGCGACTGCGAGAAACGAATAAAAAACCCTATATCAAAGATAAATCGATAATGTCTTGCGAATTGAAGTGGCTGGGTTTTTGGGATGCACGGGGCCCAAAGCCTCTATGGGCTTTTCTTTATTTTTAGCTGGACAACATACGAAAATACCTTTAAAATTAGATGGTGTTTTAAAAAGTTATATGATTTTTTTTAAAAGTAAAAGATACTGTGTAAAATTAAAAAGTGACACAATATCATTTTTTTATGAACTTGTGTCACTTTTTAAAAAAAAAGAGGTTTCGAGCTTGTTTGAGAGTGATTTTTTTCCCCCAAAGAACTGATTTTTTTACCAAAGAGTAAAAAGATGGGTATTATTTTTTACAATTATTTTTGTTATAGTTTATTTATTTTAACTATAACAAAAATAATTATAAAAAATAACACCTGAGAACCTGGTATCATAATGTCTCATTCAATGACTCATATAGTACACAAGTTGTTTAAGCGTCCACATGAACAACATGCCTCTACAACTTCCCAGTTTTACTAAATCATGCAAATATCACTTACATTTGAACTTTGAGCCTCTTGGACAACACAAGAAATCAATTTGCTTCTCGACTAGGTTCTCCCCATAATTGTGGAGTCGACGACAAATCAAGGAACACGCCTTCAACTAACAACCTTAAATTTAATGAAAATCTTGAAAAGCCGTGGCAATTAAAAATGAGTTGACATTGAAACCTGCAGAGGAAGTAAAAAATAATAATTATAACTCTCCGTTTCAATACATACAAAGGAAAAAACATTAAAAAATATGGAAAAAATGGGACCTTGACTTTGTCCTTCAATTTCTAGAGCTCTGAGTTAAAGCCCTGCTTCGTGACCTCAGAAGCTAACGAATGATTATCATGCTCTACCAATTTTGGTTCAAATCCATTCACCTCCCAGGTCCAACTTTCGTCTCCCACTGCGTTGACTATCTAAATATTATTTGTATCTCATTTGATTTGTTATATATACTAGATGATTTCATAGTGTTCGCAACCTAAATTTTGCAAATTTATTGCTCAAATTTTAAATTAAGAACATAATTTTGAGATTGTACAATCAAGATGGTGAGTCTTGTCAATGATAGTGATCCTAAAACTCAACCTTTTGATAGGTGTTAGCTAAGACATAAATAATTTCATATTATTGTTTGTTAAATGTCTCCAATTAATTTAATTGATAACAAAGTATTTTCTCATTTCTATTTAGAAATATATATGTATGTATGTGTATATGTATATGTGTGTATATATATATATAGACACACACACACACACGTGTGTGTGTGTACGCATTATGCCAACATCATAATTCTTCTTGCTATAGACCCTAGTAAAAGATAATTCTTTTAGATAAATTTACTTACCAAAGAGATAATAATATATCACACATTAACTTTAAATGCTCCAACTCGAATTAACATCCTAGAGGACAGTTAGTTAAGTTTATTCTAATACAAAAATCTTCAAACGAAAATGAAGTAATTAGTAGAGATGGTTCTATTAAGGAAGCATATACTCTTGATGAGTTTTTAGACATAACAAATTATAAAATTTCAAAAGATGTTTAAATACCTGATATGTTAAAAATTGAGATATCCCAACAAGTTATGTCATTATAGAAAAGAATAAAATCGAAAAGGAAAATGTTGTCGACAACACTTTTACATATGAAATACTGCACATATAGCAAGGAATCAAAATAAATGTGTCGAAATATATAGATCGAAGAAATAATTGGCCAAATAAATAGACACAATCCTAACAAATTGAATTTATTAGAGAAATTTGAAGCTATTGGATGTACAATTCGAATACCTAAAAGTGTCTACTATGCCAAATAAAAATATTAAAAGTAAAATAATAACGTAAGATGTATGACTCTTTACTTAATGAATTTCATGAAAACTTTGCAGATAGATAAATTATAATGGGGTTAATGTAATCACAAGTTTCTATTTTATTTGTATGACAATACATGAAATTTGATGTGCATATAATAAATTTGATTATAACTAACCATATGGTATGACTATTAATATTATTTTGAAGGATTTAATATGCATAAAGTATAATTCAAGTGATATTATCATGAATATGAGTAAATATGCGTTGTACTCTTTTTTCCTTGACCAATGTTTTGTTCCATTGGATTTTCCTGACAAGTTTTTAACAATACAACTTTTGTAACATATTAAAAAATAATAATAATACACCATTTTCCTTTATTACGAATTTCCACAGGATTTTCATAATAAGGTTCTAACGAGACATAACTTTTGTGTAATGAAATGTCAATAGCATCAAAATATTTACCTTCCTAATAACTCTTATATGTGTGAAACGCTCAATAAGATCATCAAAAGGTTTTTTTTGAATCATTATGTTATTACAGTCATCAAGTTTGTCCCATTGAATTTTGTTGAAGACATTGACATACAAGATATGAATTGCTTGATATAAAAATTGGAATCAGGAAGAGTTGTCGTACTCTTTATCCTTCGATCAAGTTTTGTTTTACTAAATTTTCTTGACAAGATTTTAACGAGACAATATTTTATTATTCTAATTACTTTCATTTGTTGACATTTTTGCCCCATCATATTTTTGCCAAATAATATTTCAATGAGATATTTTATTGTACAAAAAAATCATTCAAGTTAAAGTGTTGTAAATATAGTAACATTTATGAATGACTCTTACATCTTTGCAATCCTAGTCATTATAATTGTTGTATTAATTGTAACCCTAATTATTTCCTATAAATATGATGTTTTGGCTCTAATAAAATACACAGGTCAATTGATTTCTCTATATTTTCTTCTCTTTTCTCACTATTTTATAACATAAAACAATTTTTTTAGGGAGGATTAGTTTATAATTTTCCAGTAATTAACTTTCTCTTTCTTTCTATCCTCTATTCTCTCTATCTTATCTACCCATTAATAAAAAATGAACAAATATAATATTTTCTACGTTAAAAACTAAATCAATTAAATATATTCTATTTATAATTTTTATACAAATAAGTTATAGGCTATTGAGCCTTTGTTTTGTCTACCATTTTTTTCATATTTTACCACATTATTTTTTCTACAGTACTCATTTTCAACTACACATTCTTCATTAAAATAATATTATTCGTAAAAGAAAAAATTCTTATTTTTTAATAACACATTTCAACGTTAATCACTATTCCATAATACATTACTCACAAATAACGAGGGCACAAACAAGCACTTAATTACTTAGAATTTATTTTTTTCATACAAATTTCATGCTTGCTATAAAACGCACCCTAATTTAACTTTAATTAATTAAGTTAATTCACTTTTTGTCCAAGGTTTTGGAGATTTAGCCCCCGCTTCTTAAAACTTATGTTTTTAAACTTTTTTTTTAATCACATAATTCGTAAGATCCAAACATTTTCTCAGCTTTGAAACATATATGTTATCAAAATTTATCAAAATCTACAAAAAAAAATCTAATACTTATCCAAATCAAAAGGAGACTTATATATATTAGGTTTTATGACATACTATTATAAACACATTTTATTATCTAACGCAAACATTCTAATTTTAATACATAATTTGAAACAAAAGCACTTTACCTTTTTTTGTCATAGTTGATTGTTTTTTCGGTCCAACTAAAGCTGATTCTCTTAAAAGCAAGAAATGCCAAATTAAGAAGAATGTTTGAAAAGTATTTATAAATTATAAATAGATAAAAATGTGTGATGTAATACTTATACATTTTCAAAATGTGCAAATGAAAGGTGAATTGAGATCAAGTGGACAAAATTGAAACGTTTAAGAAAGCTCAACATCTCAAAACCTCGTGGACAAAATTGAAACGTTTAAGAAAGCTCAAGGACTGAAAGTGAATAGCATAAAACTAGTTGAGAAGTACAGGAATCGGTTTTATAATTGAGAGTCTACGCCGACCCAAAATCGAAACAGATGGGGACTCGAGAAGTGTACGAGGAGAAGCTGAGAACAGGAAATCTCCACCATGATCCCACCATTAAACCCGGCCTCGGATCGGCCCGCTGCCCCCGCTGCCTCTCTCTTTTAAACCCTAGTTCTGTACGTATATATTTGTAAGATAATGCAAATTTTCAACTTTGCCAATGATCTGTTCGATCATATGTCTCCGTGAGCATTTGGACTACCTTAATTTTCTTTCCCTGTATTGAAAACATACGTTCAACTGTTTTGGAATAGGAAAACTCGGAATGGGAAATCACTCCAGTTCTGCACGATGCCACTGCTGTGGTACGAGTATCTTTTTACTATTTTTTCTACTGCTATATTTGGCATTAAATTACTAGATTCGTATATGTTTTCGATTTTTAATGAATATAAAACTTTTGATTTTGAACCTCTGTTGGAGTTGTTTCTCACGTGGATAAGAGATAACACTGTAGAATGAAATCTGAAACTGTATAAATGAGGTCCATCTTATTGAGTGGCATTGAGTCCATTAAATAGTACATTAATGACCTAATGGGTGTGATGGACACCTTCTCAACAGAATACTTAACCTTCATCGTCTAACAATTACACCTAAAAGAAAATAATTTCTAACAAAATAACAAATGCAAAAACATACAATGATGAATAATTTGGCTATCCATTATCTGCCTCAATAGCATCTATATCAAACATTGTTGATGTCGTTATCATGTTTGTACTCTCTGTAAAACCTATTGTTTAACTTTTTCTTTCAGAGTTTGGAATTGTAGTCGACAATTTGTACATGGGTTACGGTCATGGTCATTTTCATGTTATTTTTGCCCAACATTTTTTAATATTATTTGGATTGCTTAAATAGGTTGGCTCTGGACTTGGTGGGATGCTAAGTGCAGTGCATGCTTTCAACACAGGTATGGAAATGGATTCTTCCCCTCACCTTCTCCATGCATGTTTCAATTATTATCTCATTGTGGTTCATCATTCTTGGTGAAAATCATTTCAGGGATCCCTTATGTCCAGAAACATGTGAAGGGGCCAAAGTGGCTTCCTTTTCTAATTGGGGTATGAGCCCCATTGTTTTCTTGAATTTTGCTATCTATTAAAACTCATTATTCCTACTTTCTCTTTTTCTATTTTCCTCATATCCATCCTTTTGCCTTTTCTTCTCTGGCAGCTTCCTCCTCTGCTAATGTTATCTACTGCTAGTGCTGCTTTTGGAGGTATACCTGATATTGATATTTCATGCATCATTTATATGAAAACATTGGAGAATTTTACGGTTCTTGCAAATCAAGGAATTAAATGCTGTCAATCATATATGTTTAATATGAGCATATAGCGACTACATGGAAAAAAGGGCTGGGATAAACCGTATATGAAATTATGTGACTAACAGGGAGGTCTCAATCTGGATCTAATAGTTCACTACTTTATCCAAATCAAAAGGAGACTTATATATATTAGGTTTTATGACATACTATTATAAACACATTTTATTATCTAACGCAAACATTCTAATTTTAATACATAATTTGAAACAAAAGCACTTTACCTTTTTTTGTCATAGTTGATTGTTTTTTTGGCCTAACCAAAGCTGATTCTCTTAAAAGCATGAAATGCCAAATTAAGAAGAATGTTTGAAAAGTATTTATAAATTATAAATAGATAAAAATGTGTGATGTAATACTTATACATTTTCAAAATGTGCAAATGAAAGGTGAATTGAGATCATGTGGACAAAATTGAAACGTTTAAGAAAGCTCAAGGACTGAAATTGAATAGCATAAAACTAGTTGAGAAGTACAGGAATCGGTTTTATAATTGAGAGTCTACGCCGACCCAAAATCGAAACAGATGGGGACTCGAGAAGTGTACGAGGAGAAGCTGAGAACAGGAAATCTCCACCATGATCCCACCATTAAACCCGGCCTCGGATCGGCCCGCTGCCCCCGCTGCCTCTCTCTTTTAAACCCTAGTTCTGTACGTATATATTTGTAAGATAATGCAAATTTTCAACTTTGCCAATGATCTGTTCGATCATATGTCTCCGTGAGCATTTGGACTACCTTAATTTTCTTTCCCTGTATTGAAAACATACGTTCAACTGTTTTGGAATAGGAAAACTCGGAATGGGAAATCACTCCAGTTCTGCACGATGCCACTGCTGTGGTACGAGTATCTTTTTACTATTTTTTCTACTGCTATATTTGGCATTAAATTACTAGATTCGTATATGTTTTCGATTTTTAATGAATATAAAACTTTTGATTTTGAACCTCTGTTGGAGTTGTTTCTCACGTGGATAAGAGATAACACTGTAGAATGAAATCTGAAACTGTATAAATGAGGTCCATCTTATTGAGTGGCATTGAGTCCATTAAATAGTACATTAATGACCTAATGGGTGTGATGGACACCTTCTCAACAGAATACTTAACCTTCATCGTCTAACAATTACACCTAAAAGAAAATAATTTCTAACAAAATAACAAATGCAAAAACATACAATGATGAATAATTTGGCTATCCATTATCTGCCTCAATAGCATCTATATCAAACATTGTTGATGTCGTTATCATGTTTGTACTCTCTGTAAAACCTATTGTTTAACTTTTTCTTTCAGAGTTTGGAATTGTAGTCGACAATTTGTACATGGGTTACGGTCATGGTCATTTTCATGTTATTTTTGCCCAACATTTTTTAATATTATTTGGATTGCTTAAATAGGTTGGCTCTGGACTTGGTGGGATGCTAAGTGCAGTGCATGCTTTCAACACAGGTATGGAAATGGATTCTTCCCCTCACCTTCTCCATGCACGTTTCAATTATTATCTCATTGTGGTTCATCATTCTTGGTGAAAATCATTTCAGGGATCCCTTATGTCCAGAAACATGTGAAGGGGCCAAAGTGGCTTCCTTTTCTAATTGGGGTATGAGCCCCATTGTTTTCTTGAATTTTGCTATCTATTAAAACTCATTATTCCTACTTTCTCTTTTTCTATTTTCCTCATATCCATCCTTTTGCCTTTTCTTCTCTGGCAGCTTCCTCCTCTGCTAATGTTATCTACTGCTAGTGCTGCTTTTGGAGGTATACCTGATATTGATATTTCATGCATCATTTATATGAAAACATTGGAGAATTTTACGGTTCTTGCAAATCAAGGAATTAAATGCTGTCAATCATATATGTTTAATATGAGCATATAGCGACTACATGGAAAAAAGGGCTGGGATAAACCGTATATGAAATTATATGACTAACAGGGAGGTCTCAATCTGGATCTAATAGTTCACTACTTGTTACAATGCATGAAGTTGGTTGTAACTTGTAGTCGTTAATTATAATTTTTTGAAGCATTTGATAATCTCAAGCTATATCTATGGCCACGTATATTTTATCCATTGCATTTTTAATTTTTTAGAATTGTTTCATTCTTAATTTACTCCCTTGATTTATACTTCCTATAAACATATGTTCCACTTTCTTTTATGTGTTTGATTGTTTAATCATAGAAAATTTCACATATTTCATGAAATTGCTTGAATGGTGAGTTGGTGCTTTTTCTGAGTACGGTAGTACGGGATCCTTGTGCCTCTGCCTTCTGAAATTCTATAAGCTGTCAGCTCCCCTTTTGGTATCTGACTTGGATTTTTCTATATTAGTTAATAATGTAGAGTATAATGGGGAAAGAATTTTAAAATCAAATTCGCAACCAGAATTACTTACACTATTTCCTTAATGTTTTTTAGAAGCTTTGACCCGTCTCATTCATATATCTTTAAGTTTATGATCAATACCTTTATTCACAGGCTACGCACTTCCAAAGTTCACTCAACTCACTGTGACATCTTATTATGCTGCTTCAAGTGCTTCACATTATGGTTTATCATTGCTTACTAGGCACATTGAAGAGGCCCACGTCTCCCGAACTCAACATAAAGAACTTAGATGATCAGTTGCTGGTGCACAAAATCTTCTTTATTTGTTTCAGTTGTGTAATGAACTCCACCTGTAACTGGAAGAAACATGTGAATCTAGCATATCTATGTATGCCTTTTCTTTTAAATAGCGAGAGCATTTCGTACCAACGTTGTTTATGGCAAGTACTTCAACACTTCACAGGTTACTACATGAAAGATACAAAAAGGTTGTTCGATTAAATATGTGGTATGTAATTTTTTTGAGAATCTGAACTACTTTAGCATTCACTTGTACATATTATATATTGTTTGCTACAGAAATCTCTGCCACCACTTTTTCATCTTACGTAGGATTTAAAAGATTGACTAATATTACTGTTGAAGAAGTAACCATTTTTAATACCTTAGTTTCCATGTTGATTGACCATTCGTTGTTACCAATATTCGCTCATTACTTCTAATTTGGAACTATACCCGACTTTTATGGTAGAAATGAATTTGGAACACCTGGGGAGAGAGCATAAGGATTTTTTTATATTTATTTTTTTATTAATTTTTTTTTATTTTTATTTTTTATGTCATTATGTTCAATAGATGCTTGGCATACCTTTGAGCATAAAAAGACTGCAGCCTGTATTTGTGAAATCATCTTTTGAGGTAAAGCTCCATACAAACAATATGAATGACTTATTTATGACGAGTAATGTTAATCTTTCGCCTGTGACAAACAATGGATTGAATAGCCCTTGTTTGGCCCTCATTTTTTGGAAATGAAAATGGGTAAAATAGTGTTTTTTTGAAAAATAAGTGGTTGAAAAAAAAGAAAAGTTTTCGATTTACATGAAATATCATTTTATGAAAGATTATGTGGTTAAAAATGGAAAAGAGAAAAATAAAATGTAATTTATGCTACACGAATGTTTAATAAATGCACAAGTTTCTAATTTCCTATTTTGTACGTTCATACCCGGCTTAATATTTAAGTATTTGACTCAGCATTTTCCAGAACCACAACTTGCAAATGCCTCCAATAAACCCTTTCTCGACACCCAGCTGGCTATTTAAAACCAGCGACAAGTACTTGGTACCGTTGCCTTGACTCATTGAGAAGAGGAGAGACCCACCAAATGACACTCTCCTCATATCTGTCTGATTTGATTGATAAGAAGCACATTTGCCACATAAATGCCTTCAAATTATCTATAATTAGATCATCACATTTCCTCCCAGTTTCACATTCTACCCTGCTCTTCTGCAATTAGTGCAACTGCATTTGCTTTCACATTCCACAACCTTTGCTTCCCAACATCCAGGGACAAAAGTTTCTACTAATTTCTTCCATGGAAAAAACAGATACAGAGAGAGGCTTAGAATATTTCTCTCTGGTTCGACCTGCACCACCAGTTAAAGAAAAGGCAATACGACTGTTTGGTAAAGAATTTGGAGGTAACTCCACAGTTGAGGCTCAATCAGAATCCAATAAAACTAATGCTGCAGGCAAAGAGGCAAATCGAGAGATGGGCAGCAGAAAATTTGAATGCCACTTTTGTCACAGAAACTTCCCTACTTCTCAGGCCCTTGGAGGCCACCAGAATGCACACAAGAGTGAGCGTCGACGTGCTAAGCATTCTTACCTTCAGTCTGCATTAACTGTGCATGTTGGCCTTGCTGATCGGACACCTATATTTGACCGGACCAATTATAACAAGGGTTCAGCCTCGACCCCTGTTATGGCTCACCATTCATTTAGCAGTAGAAGCAATACTTACACTGGGTTCTACGGAGGCTACACCTCTTATTCCCCATCACTAACTAATGAGAGTCCCTTGGCATTGCCGCGAATCTCCTGTTCCCCTACTTCTATCAGCAGGGAGCAATCAATTCATCAGCAGCCGTTGTTCTCTAACCTTAACTCGAGGCTATCATCAACCAGTGACTCTATTTCTCAAAGTGGGTTTGGGTACGTCTCAAAACTGAGCTTGAAAGATCATTTGTGTTTGGATTTACATCTTTGATGATCTCAACAACATTCCTTCCTTCAAGAGCAATATATTCTGTTTTTCCGAAGCAGGCTGTTACTTATTCCATGATGAGGAAATTCCAAGAATAATCACGCATGCACATTGATCCCTCAATTCCATGACTAAACATATGCACACAGAATAGCAGATTCTCTTCAAATTCATGGCTGATTGCAGGCACAAGGATCTCTTTAATTATTTCCAATTTATCCTTCATTTCCTTTATCTGCATGCAATTCCCTTTAGTTTCTTTTCACTTGTTGTTTCTAATGTTGTACCAGATCTTGACCTTCTACGTTGAGAATGCATTGAAATGACATTTGTCAGCTACTCAACTCAGCTCTACAAAACTTTATTATGATCTGAACATAAAATGAAATGCATATTGTTCCACTTATGTCTAAACGCATTAGGGCATTTGCGTGAAGATCAATTCTTTTGCAGCTGTATAGAGTAGAGCACAGAAAGACGTGAGAAGACAAAATAAAACTGCAATAAGATGAAAAAGGACATGTACGAATTGAAGTTGTGCACGAATTTAACTTACACTAATTTCCATAGTAGACTAGTAGTTTCAGTGGAACAACTTGTCAATCTTATGTGAAACGATCTTCACATTTTTGTGTACATTTTTATATCATTAATGAACTGTTCGTATAACCCCTCTGAGAAATAAGAGTCCTTTTTTATTATATTTTGTACGTACCGTTGAAATTTATATGACGTGAAGCGATTAGTAATGGATTTGTGGTGGAACTTCTTGGTGCAAATGGAGCCACATAGAGCGACGGTGGACGACTTCAATCCACTTAATTATCGGAAAAACCAACCGATACAATCAATAGTCTTTCTGTATATTGAGAAAAGATGACGGTACATGGACACTACGCAACCTTGTGTTTTATATTGATTTAGGAACCATTAATAAATTTGTTTCAATAATTTTTTCATACATCACTGCACTTCCACTTGACACTTATCGTAATGATTAACAGCTCGTCTCGCCGTGACCTTCTCTTGAATTCTCGAACGAGTTAAATAATATGGTTCTATTTCTCAATCTTTCGGGACCTGAAGCTATTTTTGTAATAGGATCGTCTTTAGTAGAATTATTCTGCGAAAGTGCTAGTGTTCATCGAAGAAAATTGCCCGAACACTTGTTATTTTATTTGAGTTTAGGTTTAAGTCTGACGAGAATAATATTCTTTGACTAGCAATTAGATATTTATATCTGTTCAAATCTCATTAACAAAGAAGCAAATTGTGCAAAGGCTTCTAATTTTGTGAATTGCGCCAATTCCAATTTTAATTTACTAGCGGTCATAAGGTAGTGAAATTCCTTGTTGGGTAAGTTCCGACCCGCATGAAAGGCGTAATGATCTGGCCATGAAGTTGAGTGATTCTCCCAATCTTCTAAGTTGGAAAGTATCCATGATACTGTCAAGTAACAGGTATTCTGATTAGTACGTAATTGATCGAACGCTACTTGCAAACGACTCTTTTGCTCAGAAACAATTAGTATTGATGCTTTATTACACTACCTTTTATGAGATGACTCATAGACAGCAATCTTGAGTAGTCTGAGAGTTTATATCAGTTCCTCGATCAAAGGAAAGGAAGCTGCTAAGATCACGTATCCCGCCTATTAGGAATAAGGAGTCTCTATGTCACGTTACCAAGGACCTCATTTCCAAAAAAAAAATACACTGCTTGGGACCTTGTTTAGTTAGAAAAATTTTTAGAAGAAGCTGGCTCAATGTCACTTCCTTAAGAAACTTTTCCACAAAAAGCATTATCAAACAGGTCTATTATAATGAACATGCACTTCTAATAATTTGAAAATTTGAAAAATATTATAACTACAAAATGTAATTTCAAAATTAACAAACTTTTTAAAAACCTTTAAAAATCATGTGGTCACATCGTGACCTTTCATAAATGTTTTAACTTAAACTGGTCACGGTTACATTTGACATAATTTATGGATTCTATTTACATACTAAGTCCCAAATCACAAAATGTAACGTATTGACGCATGATGGAAATGTGAACAATAATAATTGGTTCTTATTTGTAACACAAGAATGGGGGTTTGCTTGAGTTTGCTTGAACGGACTTGATACTATTTGAATCCACCAATTAATGGGAAAATCGAAAATATTATTAATCAAAACGTGAATGTATTATTTTACAACATTAATGCGTATTTATTAATTCAAAACAAATCTTAATATAAACGAAACCTTAATTCTGTAAAATCCAACTAAACTAGGAAAAGGAAAAACATTAACCTTAAACTAGCTAAAAACATAAAAATGCGAAAACGGATCCGTAGACGATAAAATTTGATCCCGAAAGCTTGACAATGTTGGATATAAATGGTCATCATTGTCCGAAACATACTCATAAAGATTTGCAACATTAGATGTTTTGGAAATCTTCATGTTGTTTAGGAAGATTAAGGACATAGACATTGTCATTGATCTTTTGCAGAATTTTGAAACCCCCGTACTGTTGGGAATCTACTTATACATGCACAGCGGAATTTAAAATATATTTCGATTCCCATTCAATAGATCTCATTGTGTTTGGTTAGAAATTGTGATAAGATTGTACCTTTTCCAGATCTGCAATCTTTTTGCTTTTCTTTTCGTTCCACAACTTTGATTCGCCACCACAGCTGTCCAATTGTCCAGCCTCCAACGGTGATCCACAGAGAGAATATGATTGCAGCCTCTAGGGTTTTCTCTTGTGCCAGTAAGAATAATGAAAACTTTATGGACCTCAAACCCTAGTTATGTA